GGTAACAAGTAATATTTAGGTACATTCTTTTATGATCTCGAATTATTTAAAATTTATTGATAGAAGAATATAATTTTTTAAATTGTATATCGTCAGTCAACAGTGACTGACGCGGCTCGAACGAAAAGTACACTGTCAGTCACCGGTGACTGACGCGGTCTGAACGGAAAGTATAGTGTCAGTCACCTGTGACTGACGTGGCGCTTAACGTGTTAATTTATTTTTAGTTTTAAACATTTGAAGATATAATTATACATTTCTCTTTCTTTTTTTTAATCAGATGGGAAAACAGAGCAAAAAGTCCATGGAATGGATTTTTGGCACTGCTTATTTTAGGCCATCTAGTTTTAAATGCTCTATTTTCTATGTTTCTTTTATGTGTTGCTAGTTCTAACTATCCTGGTGGTTTAGCTATTACTAAATTACACAGACTTGAAAAAGATTGTGCAAATCCAGTGCATGTGCACATTGATATTTTGACTGCTCAAACAGGAGTTTCAAGATTTACACAAACAAACGATTCTTGGATGTAAGTTATATAAATAACTCTATTAAATAGAAAACCAATTAATCTATCTAAAATAATATGCTATAAATAAATTTTTCTAGCTACAAAAAATACAATTTAATTTATTATCAACTATCTTCCAGTTACTCAAAACAAGAAAATTTAACGATAGACAATCCTGAAATGCTTCAATTTACACATCTTTTGATGGAAGCCAAAAGTAAATATTCACCAAACATAAAACCATATCTTAAAACTCATGATATCTTGGATTCTGTTGATGGTTTTTCTCATATAGCATTAAATTATAATATGTTGCCACCTATCAGAATAAAAACTAGACCAATTATATTCATCATGAAAAGAAAGGCTAATATAAAATATGATCCAAAAAAAGCGAAAACGCAAATTTATTTGAAACAACCAGATGAAAGTGATATACAAAAAAGTTTAGAAAGCAAAGACATCAAAAATAATACTGTAAAAGACATGGAACCAATATTCGATCAAATCATGGAGTCATTAGAGCAATTTGAAAGACCACTAAACATTAATGATGCAAATGCACTAGATACAGAAATACAAGACATGATTAAATTAGATAACATAAAAAACGATTCTAATAAATACCTTGAATTATTAAGTACGGAACAAGTATCTAATACATTACACGAAAATAATGTATCGCATTTAGAAACATTAATTGACGAAAAAAATGCCACAAGCGTATCAAAACTAGAAAACGATACTATGACTGAAACTAATATTAAACAATCTAATATTGAAAATGATTCAGATACTAATGAAAAGAGATTGGATATAAAGGAAAAAGAAAATGACAGAATAGAAATAACTAAAGAAAAATTAAAACTGAGTAATATTCAACAAGAAAGTAGTACTATAAAAGAAGTTGTTAAAAAAATTATCCAGGAAAA